CGCGCGCGCGCGAACGCTACGTATGTGCTGTTTCGCCTGTACAGTCTTCATGCTGTGTATGTGTATGTACATGCTTTTTTATGCCCTTTCAATCTACGTTTATTCATTCTTTTATGGATACCAACCGGGCTCGCCTTTCATTTTGTTTCAACGGAGGAGGAGAGAACCGAATGAAAAGTTGAAACGAGCGGAGGAAAAGAGTAGAAATAAACGAGCGTCGGTGGCGCGGAGGGGCGCAAGAGGGGACGAAAAAGGAGGCAAGGAGAAAGGGGGCGAGAGGGGGTGGCGGGTTGTTACTACCGCGGCGGTGCGAGGGAAAGGACGGGGAGGAAGTCAAGGGAGAAGAGAAGGGGAGAAAGTGAGAGAGGCTCGCTCTCGGAGAAGGAAGAGTATATAAACCTGTAGAAATGCATTAGAGGTACCTACCTACGGGCGATATTACCCAGGGAAAAATTCTGCTCCTCAAAGGGTCGCCTCCGAGTGCTTTTCAAAGTAGATTTTCGGAACGAGCTTGTTCGTCGATCTTTTTCTTGAAGAGGGAGAGACAGACGCGCGCGTGTCCTCCTCGAAAGAGAAGAAAATCATGTTCTACTTCGACAAACACGACGATGCGATCTATCAATTTAATCGTTTGTTCTATTTTCTAGCGTGTTGATTTTTAAAATGTTTATTACAGTTTATGTGTTACGCGGATCAAAGCGAGCGCGATGAGGTTCTGTTACGACGAGAGAACGTCGTTTACGACGGAACGTCTATCACTATGGGAATAGGATATTTTATATTTTTGCGGCGGAAAATAATGATAAAAAAACATTAGAATAAATAAGATAGAATTGGATGCTTTTGTTTGTAGAAGATATCCAAATCGAGATTCGATTATGTTATTAAACGTACACAAACACAATCGTTATCATTTGCGATTTATTCCCAGCGATTTGATACCGCGATCGATGACATTGAAAATGTGTGCTTTTCCTGAACGATCATTTGATCGCGATGCACACAAGTAAAAAATGTTGTCGTCGTTGTCTCTTTCGTGCATTAATATTCGCCGTATTATTACCCTTGTATAGCGGGGGATCCGACGGATGGATACGCACGATCGGAAACATTGATCGTGCGATGCCAGACACGACGGTATTCTATGGAAGAGATTTAATTTAGACGAACGTTTCAAATCAGATTGAACCGGAGAATATGGACGTTGCGTAGTAGTGGTGATGGTGGTAGTGGTGGCAGTGGTGGTGGTAGTAGTAGTAGTGGTAGTGTGGTGGTGGTGGTGGTGGTGGTGGTGGTGGTGGTGGTGGTGGTGGT